GGAATCCTGTGGTCGGGTTACCCTCATAACTATTAGATACATTAGCTATGGTCTTGAAAACTGTCTTATGATTAGACAACATCGTTAAAGGCATCCAATTTTTATATAGCACAATAATTTATTCTCTGCATAGATGCCATGCTGGATTTTAGAAACTAGTAGTTTTAACTTTTACTTGCTGTACTACTTAAAACAGTAATACACCTTATATCTTTTTAGAATTATTATATTGAATTAGGATTCTGAAACACACTGTATTCAGAGATAAATTTTACCATTATACTCCCAACTGGAAAGCATTAGGGAATCTTCCAATATTGTGTCTTGCTTCTTATATATAGACGAATACCTCAGTGTGTACACATTACTTCTATGTAGAAAAAAAACAATGTTTTTCTTTATACTTGCACATATCTTATTTTGACGTTGATTAGTGAGAAGTTATAGGGAATCTTATAGCAACAGAAAGATAAGGTATATAACTGATAAATGTGATTTTTTAAAAAAAATTTGTAATTGCTTACTAATTTAAAAATGCTGTCGTCTTTCAGATGTAATTATATTTTGCTTACGGCTCAAAACAGTGAATGTTCTTCTGATACCTTTATTTGTTGCAGGAAACATGAAAGAAAACTGAAGCACGATGAAATACGTAAGAAGTATGGTATGTGGTAATCTTTTGATACTCAGTATCTAAATTGATTCCTTCTTGCTAATTATTATTAAAATTCACAGCAGAAACAAGCTGCTTTATGAGCAGCAGAAGTAATCAAGCCCAGTTTCCTACTGATGCATGTTTTCCGTCACCTTAACACCTGATCTCATTGCTGTTATACTCCTGTTCTTCCTGCACTGACTCTCCTGCAGGGCAAGAGACGATGGGGTGCGTGCTTGGGGTGGGCATTTAAATATATTGATTACAATAAGTAGTTCTTTTTGTCTCTTCCTAAGTAAGAGTACTGATTTTTTTTTTTTTGAGGGGGTGGTGGGGAGGTGTTCTTGAACTTGATAAACCAATCTAGTTGAAATTGGCTAGCAGACTCACGGTCATTGAAGGAAGATAGACTAGCAGATAGCTTGATTATTTTTTTTTTTTTAAGCTTGCTTAAAAAAAGATGGAGGATGCAGCCAAACATAGGGATTAAAATTGTAGTGTTTTCCTTGTTTTTAAGTGGAGCTGTGGTCCAGTAGGAGAAGCATATTGCAAGACTGTAGGGGCTGCTGTGTTGTATGGGAGGCTCTTATTATCTAGGCTTGTCAGTGCTTGCACTCTTCATTTGATTTGTTCATAGGGTTAATGGTACTGTGTATGCAGAGACAGATATGCTAAAACTGTGCTGCACTTTTTATTATGCAAATGGCACTCATGTCAGAGAAGGTGATTCTAGGGGTCTGAACAGTCACTCAAAACTGTTAATTTTCATCTTGTTAAACTGATTGGCAGAGTCTGGGAATACCGTCATGAATCTGCAGCCTGCCCTTTGGCTGATGCAGAAGTGATACAGACAATCTCTTTAGGGAATTCTCTGTCTGGGGAACACTTGGAAAAGTATGCTCCTTTGCTGGAATGGAGGAAGAATTCACTGGAGCTTGAGCTGCAGGAGGAAGAATGTTGTAGAAACTAGAAGTAATTTTTGTTAAACATCAGTCATGAACTTCAGTCCTGTGGGGTTTTTTTAGGATAATTGACCTGGTATCCCAACCACAACTCAGTTTCAAGAGGTTTAAGTGGTTGACAACAATAGTCCAAATTTAAAGAACCAAAACCCAAACAACATAAACTAACACACACTTTTTGTGGTGGCTTCTCCTTAGAAGATACCTTAGAGTCAATCTCAACAAGTTTGAATCATTGGGCTAGATCTAATGAAGAACTTAAGACAATGGCTATGTATCCAAAATAACACACCCTCTGTACAGATATGCATATAACTTTGCATCTCCTTGAGGCAGTGCAGCTAAGAGGAGTGAACAAGGTCCTGAATTCAGGATAGCAGTTAGTGTACCAAAGCGCTGCACTGGGGTTAAGCGATGTTTCATAAGGCTGTGTTCGGTTATATTCTGCTTGTGAAACTAGTTCGCTTGTCTCTGGATGGCCCTGCATTTTAGTGAGGACAATTCTCTCTTCAGAGCTTAACCTTCAGACCTTTGTGGGATGCTTTTTTGGGTCTTGTTGGAGCACTTGAGTTTCCAGAGGAATATAACTGTATAATTCTGTGTCTCGAACGCATACACAAAATTCAACAAATCTTTTAGCTATACTGTGCATGCAGTTGTATGAGAGCTAGTGTCATTTTTGCCTCCACTTGAAGCATGTTAATCTATCAATGACTTAATTAGAAGCAAGTTCATGCATTCATTGTGTTAATGGTAGGTGTGCCTTCTGATAAGGAGTCAGGCATATTCACTTCATGCAGTTTTGCAGTGCAGTTTATCTGTAAAAGATCATAATTCCAATAAAAAATTTCAATAGCGAACTTCTAATGAAGTTTATTGACAAGTTTGCTTTATTGCACATTCGAAGATTAATTTATATTATCAGATATTTCAATTTGATTCTCATAATTTTATTTTTGTCCTAAAGAAAGACCTGATTCTTAAATGAATAGCTGGCACATTCTGAAAGGACGTATGTAACTGAGGGAAAATGAAAGACAAAATATGTATAAATTCTGAAATCCCTCAATATTATTGCTGATGTGTATAGTTCATATTCTGATAATCTACAGACAAATGGTTGTCAAAATAATTGAGACACATAATAGAGTAAGTTTTGCTATAGCCTTGGATCTTCTGTCTTCATTTTTCACTGTCTAGTAAATACATATGTTAGCATATTAAACATAATCTAATAAAAATTACTGCAAGTAATTATGGAGACGCCAGATTATTCTACACTCTTATGCACTGCAGAGAGGATTCTCAGTTAAGTAGGCATGGATGAGTGGCAGAATGACAATGACTTTGTTAACCTGACTCTTAAGATTAAGATGATCATGCCTGAAATTTGAGTATTTGGTTGGCTTTAAGGGAATGCCTTTTCCCATTTCATCCACCAGCTTTCCTTATTCCATTTAAATGGTAATTACACATTTATAATGCATTGCAGGTGTCACTCTAGCCACAGTCCTTTGGGAGCATTGGAAGCAATAGAGAGCTTTAGCAACCAGGAATACATAATTTGAATTGTTTCTTTGTTGCACAATTTGATAGTATTTTTCATTTGCTCACATATATGAATGCAATATGATTACACAAATTATATGTTGACTGTTAGAAAATTTTAAAGTAGAATTCAGAGTACTTTGCAGCTTGTGTAGTATACAAAGGAACTACAATTTAATTGCTGGTGCATTTGCTGCTATTGTATGTTCAGTGTAGCAGTAGTGAGAAGCTGCTTTGTTATTTATTTATTTTAGTATTCTGCCTGGTATTACTGGAAGGATTCTCCCTCTTCACTTTTGCAAAATTATTGCCTCTCATGATTTTGGGTTTCCACACCACTTGCTGCAGTTCTGCAAAGGTTTTGATCAGCTAATTTAATGATATGTAATCCTATCTCCTGTATTTTATGTGAGATGTTGATTTTTATATTCAGCAGTTTGTCACAGTAAATGTTCCTTCTGTTAAAGATAGATGCTTTATCTTGACCTTCTTTTGTGTTCTGAATGCAAAGCAGGGAAACCTTATATTGCTATACACCTAAAGTTATTTAGTTTGTATGTTAAGAATAGAGTTGTTAAATTGGGGGTTAAAAATAAAGAGGAAAAGTATAAAAACGGGTGAAGATACACAGCATATCACAAACTAGTTAACTTTTTTCAGCCTATACAGTCTCTTGTAAGTATTTCACTAGTTAATTCTATTTTTGGGCAGTGCTGATATGTGATGAGGGTCAGATCTCAGTGACTGAGAAGCTGCATAGTTAGCATAGTATATAAATGAATATGCAGGAAAGAGGTGGTAATTTTTTAGAATTGCTGTGTCATTTTGTACATATTAGGAGGCCTCATTATCTTTCATTAGCTTGTATGAAATACTTGACTACTATACCTTTCAAATTTTTGAGTGTTTCTTAAATACTGTGAAATAGGTCAAATACTAACCTCAAAATAAAGGTAAATAGAAATAAGATGTTTTAAGTTCTTGGGAGTGTCCATGTGTCAATGTTTCAAGTTCAGCAGTAACATGTAATGGACTCTATTGCAAACAAGACTCCTGAACCTGCAAACATCTAGCTTCTCTGAGCCTGTAAGTGTAAATTACCGGTTGAGTAGACAGTCTCATGTCAGATGGGAAACAGTTGAGAGAGACAACTCATGTCTGGTTCAGCGCAGCACATGAGCTTTAGTTGAACTAGACATGCTATCCAATTAGCATAGGCTTGCAGCTCCTCTTTGAGTGTCACAGCTAAGAGCAGCTGTGGCAGCTGACAGGAGCTTTTTGTCATGCTCCTTTTTTGTCTCTCTGGATTGCTTTTGTCCACTTACTGGAGCCTGATACAGCTTCTTCAGTAAGAATTGGTGCAAGTGATGAGCTGCCGTCTCCTTCCTCTTAATGTAATCTTATGATGTACTTAGAATGCTGAGGATAAAAGAAATTTAAGTGCTGGATGCAGATTTGAGAGCAAGAGTGAGAGCAAGGTCTATCAGGTGTTGTAACCTCTATGGTTATCCTCATTTGGAAAGAGGGCTTGCTGTTTCTCTTGAAGTACCTTCTTTCCTGGGAGGTGAATTTCTGAAGTCATGACCGATAATACTCATGCTGGATTGACCCAGGTTCTTATGAGCTGTTTAGTTCAAGTATTGTACCATAAAACAGATCAGAGAACTTTAAGTTAAACTTACTAATGCTTTATTGGTAGTAACTATATTCATTCCTAAAACATAATTCAGTAAAATTAAAGCAAGTACTACAGGGAATGACACTTGCAATAATGAGTAAAAATGACACATTAACTTGAAAATCGAGGACTAGTTATCTGAAATGGCTTTTGGCTGAGTGTTTTGAGGTAGGAGCAGAAAAAAGTATATTTGGCCCTCAGAATGGTATAGGAAAAGTTTATCAGGAGTCTTACAGTGTCCTCTGATTAATTTGAAATTGGCACTACTGGATGTAGAACATGGTTTCCATTGGATTTCAGCTGTTTAAGCTGTAAGAGAACAATTGTCTAGTGTTTTACTGTGCCACTTTCAGACCTATGAAGTGTCAAGTATGTATCTTGAAAGAAATATAAGAAATACATAATAAGCACTTGCCAGGAAGTATATACAAAGAAACATGCAACCTAAGTTAATTTTGTCAGGGAAACTGGTACCGCTTCTTGCCACTTTGTAGAAAATTTATTTGAAGTGTGGTGCCTTGATTTCTAAGTGGAACTTAATGAGTGCAGGGAGTTTATGCAATGCCAATTGTAATACGTTAATTTCTAGTGCTGTTGTTAATTTTCTGCAAATGTTGTGTAGATGTGTTTTGGAAGAGGTAAAATATAGGAATACTGCAAAAAATTTTGAAAATTTCACTACTTGTTGTCTTTCAGGTAACTAAATATATTTATAT